ACAGCACTGAGTACTTACTACGCCTATGCGCACTCGCGGCTCAGCTACGGTATTCTCTTGTGGGGAAACAGCACTGACGCACCATCACTCTTCATACTGCAAAAAAAACTAATCCGCATACTCACAAACATAGAGCAAACCGAAAGTTGCAAACCCCATTTCCAAAAACATAAAATACTTACGCTTCCATGCATCTACATCTTAGAAATATGTAAATTCGTTAAGAGATACTCTACCTTCTTTACAAAGCGCGGAGACAGACACACCAACAGATCACTGAGACACAAAAACATGCTTATGCTACCTACATCCAACATGACACTACACTCAAATAGCCCATATGTAATGTGCATCAAAATATACAATAAATTACCCAACAAAATAAAAGATGAGCCTAGCGACACGAAATTCCTAAACACCCTAAAGCAAATATTAATAAATAAAGCATACTACACTATCAATGAATATCTTACGGATAAACAAATAACCTGAAAATATAAATTTTATACAAACATAACCATATTAACAAACACCTTTTCTTGCTCAAAACTAAGTAATATAAATATAATAAATAATATATGAATATATAGATAATATAAAAGTAACTTAAATGTAAAAAACTGAACAATAAAATACTCAATTATAACAAAAAATATAACAATATATAATTAATTCAATACAATAAAATAAATATAACAATAAATTTATATAAAATTTAGAACGAATAACCTTATAATATAATGTACAAAATACAAAAATATATATATATACCTATTAAAATATAAATATAATAGCAATACTATACATACTTAGAATATGAAATACTTGTGCATAATTCTATACAAAAGAAGTCTGCCTCTCTTCTAATTTACTATTTGCTGTGCCCATCAGGGTCCATGATTGCTACTATACATAATATTACCATCTTATCTTACATTGTGGATGCAATAAAGAATTATGATTATGATTATGATTATGATTATAAATGATAATTTAAAAAAGAATAGTGTGATAAAATCTAAACAACTACTGAAGCGGTACGCAAAGGGAGGACACAGAAAAATTTTGTTTACGGATGAGAAAATTTTTACGATTGAGCAACATTTTAACAAACAAAATGACCGTATTTAAGCTCAAAGCTCTAATGAAGCTTCTCAATTAGTCGACAGAGTGCAACGTGGGCATTATCCGACTTCAGTGATGGTTTGGTGGGGTGTTAGCTATGAAGGAGTGACTGAGCCATACTTTTGCGAAAAAGGTATCAAAACATCGGCACAAGTGTATCAAAATACCATTCTTGAGAAGGTAGTTAAGCCCTTTAACAACATAATGTTCGATAACCAACAATGGTCCTTCCAGCAAGACTCGGCGCCGGCTCATAAAGCTCGGTCCACGCAGTCTTGGTTGGAAACGAAAGTTTCCGACTTCATCAGAGCTGAAGACTGGCCGTCGTCTAGTCCCGAACTTAATCCGCTGGATTATGATTTATGGTCAGTTTTAGAGAGTAGGGCTTGCTCTAAACGTCATGATAATTTGGACTCCCTAAAACAATCCATACGATTGGCAGTGAAGAATTTTCCCATGGAAAGAGTGCGTGCTTCTATTGATAACTGGCCTCAACGTTTAAAGGACTGTATTGCAGCCAATGGAGACCACTTCGAATAAGCTTTTTATGTTTTAAATTGTTTTATATTTATGTATTAAACTTACATACTGTAAAAGTAATAAATGTTATTTGCAATAGAAACATATTTTTTTATTTGTTACAGTATTTATGGCTAGACTATGTATATATTGTCTTTTTATGTAATAGGTCGACAAACGAGCAGACGGATTACCTGATGGTAAGCAATCAGCGCCGCCCATGGACACTCGCAACGGAGGAGTTACAAGTGCGTTGCCGACCTTTTAGGGATTAGGGATTTGGAGATTTAGGGATTGAGGAGGGATTGGGGGAGGGGAGGGAGTGGGCTTCCGGTAACCTCACTCACTTGGCGAAACACAACGCTGTGGTTATTTCACGCCGATTTTCTGTGAGGCCGTGGTATCACTCCGGTCGAGCCGAATTCTAATAATTGTAATTCCTTTTTGTCGTTTATTTATTAATTTATTTATAAAATTATAAAACTGCTATAGGTAAATTGCAGAAATAAGCCGCATAATCGCCAGATTAAACAGAAACATTATGAGCAATATTATGACGGACCGTACTACGCGCCGCGTAAACGATACTTAAGAGATCCAACATTGTATATTAAAATGTGTGTTTTACGGCTCTAATGAAAACTTCTTGATACTAGGTGACGCTGACATATTTAAACCCGGACTTATATTTTTCTATATTAATATTATAAAGAGGTAAAATTTGTATGTAGGGGGTAATCTTTGGAATCGCTGGTCGGATTGCCAAAATTCTTTCACTGGTAGATAGCTACAATGTTCCTGAGTGCTATAGGCTATGAAACATCACGCTGCGATCAAATGGAGCTGAGCAGCTGGTGAAACTGCGCGAGAGTAGTTAGTCTATTATAAGTTTGAAATCCGCCTTGAGCAAGCGTGGTACTCAAAGCTCAAACCTTCTCCATTTGAGAAGAGGCCTTTGCTCAGCAGTAAGCTTTAAAAGACTGATGAACGATGATTGACTGTGATTATTATGAAATGTTATTTTTCAGGGAGTTTCACAGGCAAATTTTTATCGCCATAATGCTACAAGTCAGAGACAAATTTGAGAGATAGTTAAAATATGTGGTTTCGAGGAGTCGAATCGAATCGAAGGTTTATGTAGTCACAATATAGGGGATTCGTTAATGCAAGGTAAATAGTAAATATTTACACTTCCCTTTAATAGTAAATATTCATTTGTTTGTTATAGAAATGTTACGATTGTATAATGTGTTATAACGTGTTGTTACGAAACATGTCTTTGTTTAAAAACAATTTGTCGTGTACAATAAATGTCATAAAGTATGGCAAACCAAAGGTGATTTATAAGAGCGATGAAAGATTTTCTCTTGTCAAACGATTAGATCTATCATCACCTGTTGGTAAGCAATCTATCTTCCTTGAACATTTACAACATCGAGGAGTTACAAGTGCTTTGCATACCTTTTGGGGGTTAGTGATTGGGGAGAGGGAGGGCAAATATTATCTGTCACATGCAAACTGCAACTTGCAACCAGTTGCGTTGCAAATTGAACTCCATCGAATTTTAGTGTGGGAGAGCCAAGCTTCATGAATGAGTCGGCTCCGGCTCGACCGAAGCGATACCTCTGCCTCACAGAAATCCGTCGTAGAACGCAAACAGCGTAGTATTTGGCGTTGTGAGTGAGGTTACCGGTGGTCTAATCCCTCCCCCTACCCCTATCTCTTCGTCGTTTGGCCCCTAAGTTAGAACGGTCTGGGGCCGCGCTCAAGCGGCTCCTTCCCAACCTCGGGGGGCCAAACGCCTCCTGCCGGAGGTTGTATATGGGGATTGTGCGATCCATGGCCCTCTACGGTGCCCCTGTGTGGGCGCCGGACTTGAAGCGGCGGCCGGCACGTACGCTGGTCGCGTCCCAGAGGGTCATGGCTATTCGAGTAATCCGCGGGTATCGCACGATCTCCGGGGAGGCGGCGAACCTCCTTGCCGGATCACCGCCGTGGGATCTAGAAGCGAAGGCGCTCGCGCGCGTCTACAGTTTGCGCGCAGACGCGCGTCGCCGGGGCGAAGATCCTCTGCCGCGCCAAATTAGTGCGTGGCGGAATGAGCTCCGGCGAGATCTCATGGCTGAGTGGAAACAGCGACTGTCGCAACCGAGGGCCGGGCACGCTACCATAGCAGCGGTAAGACCCCTCTTTGAGGAGTGGCTTGAGAGACGCCACGGCGTCCTCACCTTCCGTCTGACGCAGGTGCTTACCGGGCACGGCAGCTTCGGTAGGTTCCTGTTTCGGATTCAGCAGGAGGAAACGCCCGAGTGTCGTCATTGTGAGGACCACCTAGAGGGTACGGTGGAGCATACGGTAGCGGTATGCCCTGCCTGGGCTGAGCACCGCCGTATCCTCAGGGAAGTGATCGGCGGCGGCGACCTCTCGCGCCCGGCCTTAGTCGAGGCCATGGTGCGGAGTGAGAGGAACTGGGACGCCGTCTCCTCCTTTTGTGAAGCAGTCATGCTCGCAAAGAGAGAGGCGGCCCGCGTGAGGGAGCAATCCTCCTCCTCACGCCCCAGCAGCCGCAACTGGCGACACTACGGGCGTCGGGGATCGAGGGACGATCTCCGGCCACCGTAAGCACGGGCCTGCGGTCGGCGAGTAAGGGCAGCTCGCCGCCCGACCAGAACCAGGCCCGAGCGTACGGCGCGTAGCGTTCCGCGCGCGCCTCAAAGAGCCATTAGACTACCACAGACGGGGCCCTAAAGGGCTGATGTTCAGCCGGGGTTGCGGGGTAAGCGCAATGAGGTACCGCGACCTCGGCACAGAGCAGGAGAAGGAACAGGGGGGTTTTTAGTCAGTAAGAGTCTGACACTCCCTCCTGCCCGGCCCTGGGCGGGAGAAGTCATTTGACGATTTTCCCCTCACAAAAAAAAAAAAAAAACCCCTATCTCTTCCTAATCCTTAAATATCTGAAACCCATTTGGTGTTGCGAGTGTCCATGGGCGGCGCTGATTGCTGACTATCAGGTAAACCGTTTGCTCGTTTGCCGACTTATACCATAAAAAAACTTGCATGCCTTCTGGGGATACAAAGGGGGCGAGGGTGGGCACACATATTCACATACCTACAGGCTGTGACTTGTAACCAGTTGTGTAGCAATTTGCAAAAGCATTAAATCTACCACAGACGGGGCCCAACAGTGCCGTGGTTGCGGATCAAGCAATAAGGAGGATCCGGAGCAGGAGAAGGAACGGGGGGATTTTTAGTCAGTAAGAGTCCGACATTCCCTCTCGCTTCGTTCAGAGCGAGGGAAATTATGTGAAGGTTCTCCTTAATAAAAAATGCATCGAATAATGCATATATTTACTTACGGGTCATGTTCGTTGTGTAGTCGTGCGTGCAAGGCCTCGGCGGCGTGCGGCTGGACATCGGTTCGACGCCGGCCTGAGGCACACACGAGGCACTCGTTCTCAGACTCTGCGTATGTCGTGAAGCAACTGAAAATTGTATACTTATTGAATGAAAGTCAAAATGGTTATAATTTGCCTCTTTTTAGGTAAGATATTAATAAAAGAAAGATATATAAAGGTTTTTCTGTGAATTAAAAATATCAAAACGCTTTAGTAGGGATTTGAGAAACTATTGCATTAATAAGTAATTGTTTTTTGTTCCTATTTTGCAACCAATTCATTTAGTGGGTAGTGAGATCTGTACCTTTGGTGAAAGGAGTGTTGGCAGAGGAAGTGCAGCGTGGGCAGTTCGAGGGGCTTGTTGCAGACGGCGCAGCGCGACGCCTGCAGCACGACGGGCCGCTCCTGCAGGCCGCGCGCCTGCCGCGACATGCGCGCGCTGTCCTCGCGGTACTTCGACGCTAGCTCCTGTTCACGGGATATCACTTCTGCTTCCGATTTTAGCACCTCCGTTAAGTACCTAAGGTGCATATTGCTGTGATTAAAAGATGGTACAAACGTTTTTTTTGATACTCTATAGCTAATGGTTTATAAATCGAAACTTTAATAATATGACTGAATATATATAATTTCTTAATTAAAGGTAAGGATAAATTGCTTTGCGTTGCGTTGCGTTCGAGTAAATTTGTAGATATTTGTAATTTATTGGGATCGAATTAACAAATATCAACCATATATGTATATAATCGGAATGGAGCATAGGTAATATATTATCAATATATAATAGTAATATCAATTGTCAAATAATTAATAAGTAAATCAAATCAAATCAATCAAATCAAATTCTTTATTTCAAATAGACCAAAAAAGGCACTTTTGAACGTCAAGCAAAAAAGATATCATAAGGTTTAACTTTATGTGTCAGTCTGTCCGTCTGTCCTCTAGTGAAGCTATTTGCTCGTTCCAAAGTGTAGATTCCTATGGAGAAGAACGAGCAAGAAACTCCATGGTTACTCTTTTTCAATCACTTTTTACAATGCATTGTTACATAATTTAGATAGTTCCATTATGTGAGAACAGTGTAACACTAGTGTTTAACCAAAGTATCCGAAAAAGAAATAACCCTCAGGGACAGCAACTTTAGACAGTCTCGAGTTGACCAGTCCCAATAGGCGGCGTCCGTTCACGAACATGACACGTACACCAGCACCGCCCAACTCAACCATATTATAGGGAACCGAGCGGTCCAGTGCCCGTGCCACCGCCAATGAGACTCCTGAGTGAGCATGACAACTCCCAACTGACACAAGTACCAATATACTATAAGTCTAACTCAATTATAATAAGTTACAGGGCTCTCACATTTACAAAAATCCAGTTTATCAACAATTAACAACATGGTAAATAATTTAATAATTGAGATCAAAATTCCTCTTAACCTTAACAATTTTTATCCTGTGCAGTCAAACCAGCCACCCTCCAAGCATTTTTATCTTCTATATAATCATTTAGTTTGTAGTATGCTTTCCTACATAATACTTTCTTTATACATAATTTAAATTTACTTTCATTAAGATTTTGTATTTCAGTTGGGATTTTATTATAACATTTAACACATAATCCCATGAACGACTTATGCACTTTTGCTAATCTAAATAAAGGCTGACTTAATCTATTTCTATGTCTAGTAGGATAGTCATGCTTGTCAGCTACTTTTACAAATAGCTGTAGGTTTTTCCTAACATACATAATGTTTTCATAAATATATTGACATGGTACGGTCATAATGTTGATCTCCTTAAACTTTTCTCTGAGAGATTCGCGACGACCTAAGTTATAGATAGCTCTGACTGCACGCTTTTGTAAGATAAAGATAGACTCAACGTCGGATGCCTGTCCCCACAACAGAATTCCATACGACATGATGCTGTGAAAGTAGCTAAAGTACACTAGTCGTGCCGTGCCTACGTCGGTTAGCTGACGGATCTTCCAGACAGCATAAGCTGCCGAGCTCAACCGCCCTGCTAGAGATCTAATGTGGGGCCCCCATTGCAGCTTGTCGTCTACAGTAATCCCCAAGAATATGGTCTCCTTTACAAATTCCAGTTTCTGACCATTTAATAATATATCATCGCATACGTTACTTTTAACATTTGGCAAAATAAATCTAATGCATTTCGTCTTTTTATCATTAAGTACTAAGTTGTTTTTTGTGAACCAATTATGAACTTTCATTAAGGCATGATTCACTTCGTCATAGTTATAAAACATAAAATCTTAAAAATAGAAGTCTTTTTCCTTCTGATATTTGATAAGTAACTTATTTTCAAGTACTTGGTTCCCATTACATTCTAAAGGATTAATATTTACATTTTAATAATATAATAGTACTTACTTCCTGACATCCCCCAGCGTATAAGTGGGTGTGCTAGCGAGACAGTCTACCACTAGGATAGGCGACAGTAACTTCTCGTTGGCTGCGAAGAAAATATCAAACATTTAGGTTATTTATTTCCTTATTAAAAACTATTTTAATAAAGCGATTTTTGTTACGTTGTCCTCTGTTAGTCAGTAACAAATGGATGGTTTTTTTTTAAATCCTCAAATGAGTTCTCTTGTCCAGGTTAAAGCGAGAGACAGTGTCTTTCTTTTTGTTTAACAAGTGTCAGTCTCTTACTGACTAAAAAACCCCCGTTCCTTCTCCTGCTCTAGACCGAGATCGCGGTACCTTATTGCGCTTGCCCCGCAACCCCGGCTGAACAACATCGACAAGAAATGGATGGACAAACTTTCTTAAATATTTTATCCTTATTGTGAACAGAATAGTAGAATAACAATAGAAGACAAATGATTATATTAGAGGAAGTTTGAAAGTGGCGCCAGTGACTGAAAAGTTGAAATGGAACCGTTTGTCTTGGTATGGCCATGTGAAAAGGAGGGATGAAACGCATGTTACAAAAAAAGCCATGAGAGCATAAATGTGGATGGATGGAGAGGGAGAGGGAGACCAAAGAAAATATGGATGGATTGTGTGAGAAATGATATGGAAGACAGAGGAGTCAGTGACAGGACAGAATGGAAGAAAAAACATATTGCGCTGACCCCAAATAAAACGGGACAAGGCCAGGATGATGATGATAATGATGTGAACAGATTAGTACCGATAACGTTAAGTAGCTCAGGCAGAGCTGAGGGCGGGGGCGCGGCCCCCAGTACGTCGAGCCATAGGCGAGGGCAGAGCGCCCCGCGACGCCGGCACACCGCCAGCGCAGCCTCCGCATCACCGCTGCGTAAGTGCAGGGCTACTTGCGCTCGCCAACTGAGAAGAAACAATATTTGTTAATACATAAAACATTACGCCTAATCGTTCCCCTCCCTCCCTCATTCTCAATCCTCAAATCCCCTATCCTTTAATCCCCACAATAACCCAGAAGAGGCCGGCATCACACTTGTACTAATTCTAGCGCTGATTGCTTACTATCAGATAATCCGTCTGCTCGACCTATGCCACTAAAAAGGATAGTTGTGTAGATAAGTGAAGCAGGCCAACCAGAGCGTCTTACGTCATTTGTCGATCGCGCAAATGTGTAAAGTAATGTCAAGGAAACTCGCAATAGTCACTGCCTAGTATGTTATATCTGTTATTATTACACTGTTTTAATAATTATTATAATTGAGCCCATTTCTTTCTCTATTTTTCTCTATCAATCTACCTCTCTATCTCTTCTTTTTTATTATTTTTATCTATATGTTTATATAAAAATCAATGCCACTTTTCGTTGTATTATTATAACTCCACAATGCCTTTACCGATTTGGCTAATTTTGGTCGTGAATTATTCGTGGAAATCCAAAGGTTTGTACGTTAAGAAAACTAAAAAAACGTGTAAAATCGACAACCACGCTGGCGGAGCTGTGGGCGACCGCTAGTAATGTATTTTTTTTGTCCCTGACGTTCTTGTCAAGTCTTTTGCCAAATAAACACATTTCATTTCTTTCATTTCACTAGACACTTCGGTGACCCATCCCATATCAGAAAGTAGAAGGCACACTCACAGTTTATTCTCCTCATATAGATACAGTACTCCGGCCTGGAAGCCAAGCATCTGGCATATGATCAGCGTCTGGTCTTTGTCATAATTAGCTTCAGGGTTTTTCAGAACCCCTAGTATCTTCTCTTCATATTCTTTTTTCTCACTCTCTGGAGATTTGGCCCTGATGGAACAAATGGAGTATTTAATGAATGTTTTTTGATAGCGGTTAAGTAGAAAGGACTCTATGTTAGAGATTTGGGAGTTGAAGTTGCTAATATTAGGCTTCTTTCCTTTCACGGGACCACAGGGTCCCGGACCTTTGGAAGGCGAACGAGGAGCCGAAGCCAACTCGCAGAGGCCCGTTGAACAGTTATTATTGTTATCAAAAGTTATTTGAATTCTTGACTATATCCTGTTTTGTAAATTCTAAATGGCCACTATGGACCGGATTTTAAATATAGAACGTAATTTTTGGGAACTACGTGATATTAAGTTTATCGAAATAGGATCTAAGTTTGAGGTTGCGTTTGGTGGCAACCAGACACACTTTTTAGCCGTAGTTTTGATTTCGGGATTAGCTTGAAACTAGACGAGCTACTTCGTCAAAGAGTAAAGTGCACATGTCATAGATAGAATTAAGTATTTTTTCAGATAGAAATAAATTATTTCAACTTTGAGTAACACAAAAAAATTAAAAATTATAGTATATTCATTGATGTATTTGAATGTACAAATACTTCATTTTCCTTTGTTAGTAGAATAGAAAATGAAATAATGTACTTAAAAAAATCTTGTAACATTAAATCTATTTGATGCAGAAATATGATGACATTACAAGTTTGTATCATAAAAAATTGCGTTTAGGTTTTGTATTGAATTTGACTAGTTAAAAAATACAGTACTCCAATAGGGTTTTAGAGAAAACAGTTTATTTGTTACTAAGGAAACTTACCACACATGTATATAATGTTCGATCAGAGCATCATATACAAGTTTAGAGCAATCATCTTGTGTCTTTATCATATGCTCTAAGAAGTCGATGAGTCGCTCGGAGTTTGCGAGGAACATGTGTATGTAGTCGTCCGGGAGGGCGCAGGCCGGGGGTCTCACGCCGCCCCCTGACAGGGCTGCCTCGTCTACTAGAGGCTTGCTGCGGGGCTTGTAGTCTGTGCATAGTACTGAGGAAAAAAAATTGATTTTTAAGAGCTAAGCTTCGGCATGAATGTGTCGGCTTGGCATAAAACTACAGCGTTGTGTTTCGCTGTGTGAGTGAGGTTCATCTTCAACCTATGAGTGTCCAATGCTGAGCAAAGGCCTCTTCTCATGCGGATAAGGTTAGAGCATTAATCAGTGAGTGAGGTTACTGGAGGCCCAATCGCTGCCCATCCATCCCTAAACAATCACCAAAAGGCCGACAACGCACACGTCACTCCTTTAGTGTTGCGGGTGTCGATGGGCGGCGCCGATTGCTTACCATCATGTAATCCAAGTACTTGATGGAAGACCTTTTTTATAAAAAAATTGTTGGCAACAATTTTGTTAATTTTAGTACTTGTCAAGTACTCGGTAACAAATTCTGCGATACATTAGCGAATTGATAAATGTAAGTGCGGATGGCGAGTTACGGTAGCTAGCACGCCATATAAAAAGATATCCTTCTTACAAAAAAACTATAAATACTAAACTTACACTTCAAAAACTTGGTGCTTTCCTCCGGCTCATGCTGTATGAGTCTATGTCCGTACTTCTTCATATACATGTCGGCGTCCTCAAACTCCAGCTCGACTATGTAATCTAGGGCTTGGCGGTAATCTTTCTTGTCTTCCAACATCATTTTCAAGTACCAATCGTGACGCTTGTAATTTGCCGCTAGAGACAACGCGTCGTCCACGCTTACTTGGCGCATTACCTGCGAAAATACAACATCATCATCATTGGCATCATCAGCCTATAAGTGCCCACTGCTGAGCAAAGACCTCTGTTTATACGGAGAAGGTTTGAGGATTAATCACCACGCTTGCTCAAGGCGGGTACCTTTAAAAGTTCTAGTTAGAAATTATAAGTCCAGTACCTATTCCCCACGATGCTTTCTTTCACCGTCTGTCAGTGATGTCTGAATACACTTAGAAAGTACATAACCACAACCATTTTTCAGGAATCTACGTCACGTCGAAACAAGAGATATGTATAATATCCTATAAGGCTATTAATCAAGGCAACAATTCAACTGTACAGGAATGTACGGTGCAACCGCACATCAGCATTTTACGCCACTTACATTACAATTCATTATAAATATGTTCAGTTCGCGTTGAGCCACCAAGTTAGCTAAGCGTTCTCATTACAGCCGAAAAGGGCTACGTCACTCATCATTTCCGCACAGTCCATTAAGCTCATATTTACCTTCTAGTACATTTTGGTCAATACAGTAGTTTTCAGTAATTAAATTTATTTTATTCCTTTCCACTATCTTCTAAAATAGTGTACGGTCTAGCAAGGGAATATACAAGGAATGTTAATGCTATGCTTCGACACGAATGGGCCGGATTTGACTGGAGTTATACCACGGCCTCACAGAAAACCGGCGTGAAGCAACACTGATGTTGTGTTTCAATCCCTGCCTCCATCCCCTATTCTTAAATCCCTAGCAGCCCGCAAGAGGCCGGCAACACGATTGTAGTAACTCCTTTGGCATTACGAGCTAGGGCAGCGCCGACTGCTTACCATCAGGTAAAGCGTCAGCTTGTTTGTCTAACTATCACACAAAAAAAAAGATTATCCAAAAAAACATACCTTAATAGCGACATCGACATCAAAATCGATAGCTTTATCCTTGGAATTGATGAACTCCTTCAGTTTTCCTTGATGGTCGTGTTGGTCTATTTTCATATAACAAGTTAGTAGTAACGTCGTATGGTCTTCAGTGGCGCACCCTTTCTTTTTATGAAGCTCCTCCAAGTATTGAACAAGGGGCTCCAAGTGGCGACACTCTAGGTACTTGCGGATAACGTATGAGGTTTCCAGCCAACCTATAGTTTTCACGTATTGCTCTATCGCACCTTTCAAATCTCCCTGTAATAATAATAATGATATTTAATATTTACATTAAAGTTGTCTAAAGGGCCTCTGCACAGTTGGTTTCGACCCCTCGTCCGCTTTTCAAATGATCGGGACCCTGTTTTACGTGATTAGTAAAGACATACTAGCGGCTCGCCCCTGCTTCGCACGGGTCCAACTCTCTCGCTATTAAAGGGTCACTTTTTCCTAATCTTCCCCTCTACTTTTTTAATATTTTCTTTAATAAGCACCTTCTCCTGACAATAACAAACACAACAAAAAAAGAATTAGCAAAATTGGTCTAGACGTTGTTGAGTTATGCGCTTACCAACACATTTTGCGATCCATTTTTATATATAGGCATATATAAAAATAAAAATGAAATGTTTTAATCTTCAAAAACAGTGGTTAATGTTGGTATTGATATTTTTTTGTTTTTGTAAATTACATTATAATGAGAATGGTTTTTTATTGCGCAACAAATTAGATGTGTAGACCTTTTTTTAACAATAAGTGAGATAGAAATGATCGGAATTTCATGCTACATCTCACGAACTGAAAAGATTCTCAGACAATTCCAGAGCCAATTGAATAGATTCCTAGGTCAAAAGCAAATTATTTTGACTTTTCAATTCAATTAATTATTAAAATATAATCATACTTTGACCCATAGATTTGACTATATACTTCATTAAAGATTTTTCTAGCATTTTTTTCAGAATGAAGTGTGTTACCTGACGGGAAAATTTATAGGTAAGTAAAAATATCTATTAAGTAATTAAATTTTACTAGACAGAAACTACCACACTCAAGTATCAATCCACGCACTAGAATGGTTCACAGTCATGTATTAAACAATAATAATAATAACATTACAAATATAGTTAAAAATACGCACCTTACTATATAAATGATCACCATACTGCTTATAAATCTCAGTGAGTCCAGCCTCATCGTAATGCTGGCTACTAGCGATCCTAATAGCAACATCATAGAGGTTCTTTTTGAATAACAACGTCAGCTTAGACTGTAAATCCTTTTCTTCTAAATAAATCATTTCTTTATTCTTCGTGAGAATATAAAAAGATCCCCATTCTGTGAGGACGGCGTCGATTTCTTCAAAAACTTTTGAGAAAACTATAAATTTGTTCTGTATATCCAGTATGGTGATATGGTGGGATTTGGGGATTGGGGCCGTGCTTGTAGATGCTGTCGATTTGTTGGAGCTCTCGTTTGCTGTGATTACCAGGTAGCTTCGGAACCAGTCGAGACGTACTTTCTCCCCTTCGAGAGCGTAGCAAGGGCCTCGACCTTCTGTTGTGTAGCAGTAGAGAGCCTACAGACAAAAAAAGTTATGGTATAAGTTTTTAAACAAAATTAAGTGTGAGGTACAAAAAAAAAATATTAAAAAAAAAATCAGTAGTTCAAGTGTTTGTAGTAAACCTAATTTTGATAATTATTATTACTAAAACTAGAAAAACAATTTCTTTTTTCATAATGCATTACTGCAATAGGTACTTGGGTTTACTTTAGAGCGTTCTAAGGTCAAGGTCAATATTAGTAATATATTGAAAATTAAAACTACAAACTAATTTTATACTCATAAATGAATGACACATCAATGAGTATTTTAAGTTCAATATACATAGTATAATCAAAAGGCCGTTGCTCCATTAAATATTTGGGTAAGAATCTACGATTTTCAACCTTAAAGTCAATAGAGGAAGGCGAGAAAAATATAGAGGTAGGTAGGTAGGTACCTCATTGTTGGCGATGGTGAGCCTCTGGCTGTCGGCGAGCACGGCGCAGGCGGGCGCGGCGCCCATACAGTCCAGCGCCACGCACCGCTCCACGCCCAGCCACACCACGCTCACCGCCGCGCGAGACACCACGTACAGCTTGTCCGCGCCTCTATACAAACAACATTCCTTTATAACCAACTTCCGCCTGCGTCGTATGTTGATAAAAAGTAGCCTATATGCCCTAAGCTCTATTCCGAAGTGTATTCAATGCAATTTCATCCAGATCCGTCCAGCTGTTTTGGCGTGATTAAGTAACAAACATCTTAACTTTGGGTTTTATAATATTAACTAGTAAGATATAAACATTCCATTTCAATCACTCCATCAAGATTTAAGCATACATAGGGATAAAGGGATAAAGAAAGCGATTGCTTTATACTATACTAAATACTATGTAATGAAGTTACGTGTATTGACGGTTATTTATATACTTACTTAAACGCAAGCGCAGTGATAGGGCTAGTGCCAGTGTCGGGCAAAGTCCTCATTTTCCCGCTACGTTGCCGAGCGATGTCGCCACGGAATAGTGACACCGACCCGTCCAGGAAACCAACCGCTAGCAGATTCTACAGTAAATAACGAACTCTTTTTTAATACCTGAATAATTAGGCAGTGGTTAAGATTCAGTTATGGTGCTTCGGCACGAATAGGTCTCTTCGACCGGAAGTTCACCACAGCTGAATGAGACCACCATGTGAGTCAGGATACTGGAGATTCTCTTACCCACCCCCTCTCCCCCCAAATACCTCAATCACCAAAACCCTAAACCCCAAAAGGCAGAGAACGTACTCGGAATTCTTTTGTTGTTGAGGGTATCTATAGACGGTGCCGATTGCTTACCATCAGGTAGGTATAGGCTCATTTACCACTCTATCACATGAAATTTACAGTTTTCACTAATTATGGTTATAAGCTTAAAATTTATATATTTTTCTAAATGGATGATCTAAGTTCTTGGGCAATATTTTAGACTGTACTGTTTGAGAATGTTCTAAAATCAAACACCAATCTTATTTAGTCTTATCTACTAAAACAATGGATGCAAAAAAATATAAAATACCTTGTTTTCATGAACCGCTAGAGCTGTGGCAGGTGTGGGTTTCATGTGTGAAGGAACTGCCCGGGAAACTCGCGTGCATGTAGGGTTCCCGTGCCGGTCTCTGCGCGACCAGTCCCATACTTTTATCAGAGGCAGCACTCCAGCTTCATCATCCTGGAATAATACAATATTATTCCAAAAAACCAGAGTATCAGCATAATATTATAGTTTCTTAGTTTTTTGCAGACATGATATTTTCATCTTTATTTTATTATATTTGGACAATATCAGTGATTATTTTTGCTTTAAAAAAATATTTCGTTTCTCTTTTTAATAATCAACATTGTGAAAACACTACAAAGTATAAACCAAAGTCGTTTTCTCTGTCCCTATATCCATATATGTATGATTAAGGGGATGATTTTTCAATGGTTACACAAAAGTTATATCTGCGGAATAATTATGATGCTGTCGCGTCAGAATGTTTGTATAAAACAGTGACAGCGACAATTTTATTCCACAGATAACATTTATCTGACTATCTAAAAATCAGCTCTAAATCATTAAAGCTGAGCAATAGATATTCATGCGGTTTTTTAAATAGATGAAGTTAGTAGAAGGTTTATAAGTATGTACCTAAATAATATTTATCAAATATTAAAGAAATTAAGTATAAGCTTTGACTTCATATGAAGCCGGGCAGGTCATTAGTAAGAGAAAAAATATGACATGTAGATAAACAAATATAAAATTTAATCATAACAAACTCACCCCAATTGTGACAAGATAAGGATCGTGAGGTAACTGCTGAGCCAGTGTCACGGTCAGTTCGTAGGCCTTAAAAGAGGTGACCTCCCATGACCGAGAGATTAGATGGGCCCAGCCTGTTACATCACAAAGGACAACATGCCCGTTGCCACTAGTTGTTGCTGTTACATGTGTATCCTGAAATCAAAATAAGAGGTTTTTCTATGTTCTAAGTTGGCAAATGAGCAGACGGATTATAATTAACATTGCCTATGGACACTTTAATACCAAATGAGTAAACATGTGAGTTGCCAGCCTCTTGTAAGTTATTAGGGATTTGAGGATAGAGGATTGAGCCTACAGTAACCTCACTCACATTTTGTCGCCCGTTTTTGGTGAGACCGCAACATCACTCTTAGATTTAAGTAATCATGTTACTGTTTTTCGATGTTTGCCCCAAATAAGGGCATTCTATGTGTTGTTGCTTATCTGGTTGCTTTAGTAATATAAAAACATGGAAACATATGTTCTATATGGTGAATTGCACCTACCACATATTACAAAGTGGCTAATTACCCAGCCGTTTTCCCTATAGTGTATCATCTAATAAATTATGTGTGTCTCATTGTATTGCTACCTGTACTTAGTCATTTAGCAACTGACAGAAAAATTGTAACCATAGCGTTTCTTATTTGGCTACAACTACAAGAATCTACACTTTGTAACAAGCATAGGTATATATAGGTGCATGAATGCCAGTGTTCGCATCGAGTTTGATGAATTAATGTGTTCTTGCTACTTGCTCAAATTCATTCACTATACTAGTCTTGAATATGTGAACAATATATTTTAATGATCAGCATAGAGTATTGATTACTGGATAAATAGTTATTAGGGAGGATGATATGATAAATGATTAGGAAGATGATTTCCTGATTTTCAAAAGTCAATACAGAAAACTGTACTATTACAACTTTGAATTATGTGTGATACGGAGATAATATCTACCACAGCATTATATAGTTTAGGTACATATTTCAGTAACAAAATTTTACTTTAATAATGACAATAGTTATCACCGGAGTAAAGAAACATCAAGGGGAGGTTTCTGTTTACAAATCTGTTATATAGGTCACTAATAAATACAAAACCGAATGTACCTTAAATCCAGGAAGATATAACACAAATTTACTTACTTGCAAGCACTCAGCAACTTTTCCGTTGTCGACATTCCTATGAATGTCGAAAAATGAAAATCTTCGCCACTGTAAATCAAGCACATTTTTAGATGTATATATACGGTTTATAGGCATCATATTGAAATTCATCGTGATTTTCTAACAGTTTCTGATGGCAATTAATGCAAAATAGCGTGAGTTAGGTGTTGTATTATAAATGTTTTCTACTACAAACAAAAGGTACAGCAAACAAGGTTGGGACTCATTTTAATAGCTCATATTAATTAATATTCTATAATTACCTCCAAAAAAGCCATCGTTATCGCTTTAATTATTTAACACACTTATCATGATATCATTGAAATCATTAAAAATAATAGTTTTCAGAATTTCCTTTTATCACTAAAGTGGGATCATTTGACAATACAGCAGTATTTTTTATTTTCATTTGACGGTTCACGAGTTGGCATATTATTTTACTCTGTTACGCGTTTAAATTTTCAATAATTTCCTTGAGAGACACTATATTAGACATAATTCTTCCATAATATTTAACATATCTATATCGTTTATTGCATTCTCCATGGAGAGGCCATGGAGAGGCTAGGTACAATAAGAAGAACTGAAATTACGAGAACGAAGAAAACGAAGTGTAACAGAGTCATGAATACAAAAAAAAATTACAATAAACTCCTTGTAATGACTGTCATAATACCTGTTACTGTCAAAAATAATGTGGTCATCACAAAAAAAAACATCCATATATCCAATATCCAATCAGATAATTTATTTGCGTACGACAGGTAAAAATACGTTACAAATCAATGATGTATAAAACTATAGATACGTTGTCCGCGCTCTAAAATGACAACATGAAATGAAGGCAATTGACAACATCGCGCTTAGTTACGCACCAACCTGCCGCGCGACGCTACGTTTGTTTTTAATTTATATCGTGTGGGTAAACCTGTGCGAAACATAAAGAAAGCATGTCGTCGTGTGTGTTCAGACGATGTACAAATTATACTCCAAAAGTTAAAGACAAAAATGTGTCATTTCATGCGTAAGTTCACCAAACAACGTATTTTTATTTTATTTTTTTCGACGCCGGCGCCCGCCATCTTATGGCGGCCGGCGCATGAAGGTATAGTCACGTGCTGTCGCCGTCGGCATAACTGAAGATGTATATTTATCTCCCTCTAGCAAAGGCATTCCACTATACGATGTCATATTTTCTTTCCCTTTCTTTACTCGTAGAAGTAGTTATCTAGTATTTTCGCCGTTTTTAAGCGCCGCGATGTTGGTTCATGACGTGTCTATATATAATACGTCATTGTTACAAATATATATTGTGCCTCTTTTGTGATTATCAGAAAACGAGCAGATTTATTGGAAGAACTGTCGAAGAACCGATGACCGCTGGGGTAAACGTGTTCTAGAGTGGAGACCACGTCTAGGCAAACGTAGTGTAGGGCGCCCTCCAGCTAGGTGGACTGACGACATCTGCAGGGTGGCTGGCAGTGCCTCAAAGAGCCAATAGACCACCACAGACGGGCCCCCATAGGGCTGATGTTTAGCCGGGGTTGCGGGGTAAGCGCAATGAGGCACCGCGACCTCGGCCCAGAGCAGGAGAAGGAACAGGGGGGTTTTTAGTCAGTAAGAGTCTGACACTCCCCCCCGCCCGACCATGGGCAGGAGAAGTCATTTGATGATTTTCCCCTCACAAAAAAAAAAAGGCTGGCTGGCAGTGGTTGGATGAGAAGAGCTGAACATCGAGCTCAGTGGCGTGCAATTGGGGAGGCCTATGTCCAGCGGTGGACGACAATAGGCTGATGATGATAATGATGAGCAGATTTATTGCCTACCTGATGGTAGGTAAGAAAATGACTTTGCCCATAGACGTTTCAGGATAAAATGTCAGCCTTTTAGAGATTAAGACTCACCCAGATGCATAGCGGATTAGAAAAATTGGGCCTTTTTTATGAGATAGCAGCAAATACGAACAGACGTATTACCACCCAGGAGTCCATACCTGCAACATCAAAGGAGTCACAGGAGGAAAGGGATGGGGAGAGGGGGAAGGATTGGGCCTCCAGTAACCTCCCTCCAACACCACGCTGTGGTTGTTTCACTCCGATTTTTTGTGATCGCCGTGGTATCACTCTAGTCGAGCCGACCTATTCGTGCCGAACCTTGAGTCTCCCGGTCTCCCACACTTGGTCTCCGGGCCTCCGGTAACCTTACAAAACAAAACGCTGTGGTTGTTACACGCCGGTTTTTTTGTGAGGCCGTGAGACCCATTCGTGCCGAATCTTGAAGAAAATAATTTATCTTGTTTAAGTGTATTGCCAAAAATAATATTTCTAATTTTTCTTGCTTGAATAAGAAGGGGAGATGTCAAATTATATGTTTCTAAACGCACCCACGACACAGGAGATCCTATTGTGAAAAAAGAAAGATTTGATTTTTCGTTATTCTTACTCACATCGTCACACGGCAAATAGTGCATCAACTCTAGTGTGCCCTTTTGTAATAATAATAGTCTAAGGGGCTTTGTAACGTGCGTAGAAAATAATAATATGTGTAACTCGAAGACGACCAAGTTTCCAATAATCCAGTATGGCAACGAATTTTACCTATAAACGGAGCTTGAATCGATATAGAAATATTATCCACCATACCGTTGCTCTCTTTCCACCATATCTTTTTAAACTAGTTGTCACGAAACTCTGATGTACCTAAGTAAGGACTGAGGAGCCACATCAGATTTTTCAAATCTGATCTTACCGTTATTTTGCAGCAATGTACCTAGGTAGTCTATTTTACAGCACGAATTCTTGATTAAGCTAAGCAGCAAATATTTCACTAAGTATTTATTTTAATGCAAAAGTGGCTCTTCAATCTAAACATCTGAATTGAGGAGCCACCTGGAACTCGTTAAATAATGTGACGGAAAAGTGGTTCAAACTCTTTGACATCATGACGTCAATGGATGGTTGTCAAACGTTGCCTAGAGATTGTAAATTTCGTCGTGAATTGTCAACACGAGTTGGTGTAATCGGTAAGGCGTGTGGATTACACCACAGAGACCCCGAGTTCGAGTCCCGCCGTAAACATGTAGTTTTTTAGTTGATAGAAGTTTTGTGGAACTTTCTGGAACTATTTGTGTGAAAGAAATAAAAAATTAAAGAGCGAGAAGGAGAATAAATAAAAATGAGTAACGAAATTATTGGAAGGTTCTGGAGTCATGACGATCAAAAAGAATAACGAAATTGAATGTTCCAGAACCTGAACCGGGGGTATATAAGCGGAACTGCGGCTCACCGCCGGCAGTTGAGTTCTAAGTCTAAAGCGATTCGGAAGAAAAGGAGGAAGTGAAAAAGAAGAAAAGTGAGTGAAATAGTGAAGTGCAGTGAAATAGTGAAGTGCAGTCAGTTAAGTGAGTTAAGTCAGCGTGAACGGCAAAGTTGTGTCAGTCGGCCGGACTCTGCTGGAGAGGAACGCCGATAACTTAACTCCGTGGACGCTGTAACTTAAGTGCAATAGAAAGTCTGAAATCTGGTATTAGTGTTTCATTTCATCCAATCCCGTAACCCAAGCCCGCATAGTCAGGAACGTGACGTCAGGCACGTAACATTTGGTGTCAGAAGTGGGATTGGAGAAAAATGCCGCTAGTGCCGCAGGACGTAAGAGGAGTGAGTACCCGTGCAATGGCAGAAGCGCAGCGTGTGAGGGAAGAGAGTGCTGCAGCTCAAACCAGCGATGCAGAAGCCAAGCCTGTGCAGGTGGATCTACTGCTACAGCTGCAGCAAATGATGGTAGAGCAAGCGCGCCGCCAAGAAGAACAGCTACGGGAGCTGAAAGAAGATCAAGCTCGTCGCCAAGAGGAGCAAGCTCGTCGCCAAGAGGAGCAAGCTCGTCGCCAAGAGGAGCAAGCTCGTCGCCAAGAGGAGCAAGCTCGTCGCCAAGAGGAGCATGCACGCTGTCAGGCGGAGCAGCTACGGGAGCTGAAAGAGGATCAAGCTCGCCGCCAAGAGGAGCAAGCGCGTCGCTTGGAAGACATGCATAAGGATTTCACGAAGGGACTGCAAAAGGCTGTCGAACGGGTACAAGAAGTGGAGGAAGGGTTAGGCAAGTTGGAACATCGCGTCAAGGCGATAGAGGAGAGAGTGGAAGAAGAGATCTCCAAAATCAAGCAGGAAGTGACAAGCCCAAGCCCTTTGAAGAGCCGAAGCCGTCTTGCAGCCGTTTTTGAAGCCCCAAATGCGGCTTCAAGTGCAACGAAAGGGCTTAAGATTCCCCATTACGACGGAACAACATCCTGGACCGCGTTCAAGCTACAGTTTGAGACACTTATGGAGGCTTATGGTTGGACTCAGAAGGAAGCACAGTCAGCCCTCACCCTGGCCCTCCGTGATCAAGCGCTCTCAGTGCTGGAAGCTATCGGCGCAAGTGGGGATCTCAGCTTTAGTGCCCTCCTCGACGCACTTGAGGCACGTTTTGGAGACAGCCACCTCGAGCACGTGTACAGAGCGCAATTAAAAGAGCGTACTCAGCGTGCTAATGAGGGCCTACAGCAATGGTCCGTGGAAATCGAGAAACTTGTGCGTCGAGCTTTCCGGTCGACTCCGTCAATGATTGAAGGCACGCTTCTCCAAGCGTTCATTGACGGTATTCGGGACCCCGAAGTACGAGCCGCTGTTCATCTGGGCCATCACAAGAACATGAAAGAAGCTCTGGCCCATGCATTGGAAGTGGAAGCCGTGCGTGGTAACTCCCGTACCTTACGTCTGCGGGAAATGACGACAACGGAGCAGGTACCTTCACGCCGTCGGAACTTCATGTGCTATGGATGCGGAGAGCGTGGGCACATGCGGAGCAACTGCCCGAAGAAGGTGAACCGCCAGGACGCGGCGGTCTCAACTTCTGACCAGCAGGGAAACTAAATCCAGCCAGGGCTGCGGGGTGGGCGCTGGCAGGTAGTGGAATAACCCCAACAATCTACATCAAGCAAACTAACGATGGAAATACTCTGGTGATAGACGGTCAAGTAAATGGGAAAAACAGTCAGCTAACATTAGATACTGGAGCTTCAAGGACGGTGATGAATGTTCGGCTGCTCGAGCAAAACATCAGGAAACACCTTAAACCAATTGTTGGCCTACAAATGAAATCAGCTACCGGCCAGTGCATACCGATAAGTGGAAAATTGCATGTAACAATCAAAATTGGGGAACGTGTTTATCGACATGAGGTTATTGTGGCCAAAATTCTGGATGACTGCATCCTGGGACTTGACTTCCTGCGAGGGCACCAGTGTAATATCGACTTAAAATCTGGAGTATTACTATGTGGAACTGAGGAAATTCCGATGAAGGGTGGAACCCTAGGAAAAGTTTGCTGTTTAAGAAGAACTGTTCTTGCACCAAAAT